GTAGAGACAGGGTTTCACCATGTTGGCCAGGATGATCTGGATCTCTTGACCTTGTGATCCACCTGCCTCAGCTTCCCAAAGTGCTGGGATTATAGGCATGAGCCACCGCGCCCAGACTAATTTTTATATTTTTAGTAGAGATGGGGTTTCACCATGTTGGCCAGGGTGATCTTGAACTGCTGAACTCAAGCGATCCGCCTGCCTCAGCCTCCCAAAGTGCTGGGATTACGTGTGTGAGCCATGGTACCCAGACTTCATCTGTAACTTCTACTCAGGCTTCAAATCCCACCTCTCCTGGGAGGCCTGCTGGGCCCCCCCAGCCTAAGCGAGGCACCTGGGCTCTAGGTCCCAGGGCACACAGGCCCTTTGCAGCCCTCATTCTGCTTGCTGCTGCCTGTGTCCCCCCTTAGACTGTGAGCACCACAATGGTAGGGAGCATGTTTGTGGCATGCACCTCTGTGTCCCAGTGCCTGGGACAGTGCCCGGCAGCCAGGAGGACCTCCATATGTGGGGTGCTTCCTTTTCCTCTCCCAGGATGCCTCATCCTGGCTCTGCCAGGGATGGTCTAAATGATGGTAGAAAAGTCTCTCTTGCTGTTTGTGTGTGTGTGTGTGTGTATGAGATGGGGTCTTGCTCTGTCACCCAGGCTGGAGCACAGTGGCAACATCGTGGCTCACTACAGCCTGGACCTGCAGAGCTCAAGGGATCCTCCCACCTGAGCCTCCCGAGTAGCTGGGACTACAGGTAGGTGGCATCACATCCTGCTAATTTAAAAAATTTTTTGTAGAGGCAGATGCTTGCCATGTTGCCCAGGCTGGTCTTGAACTCCTGGGCTCATTGATCTGCCTGCTCGGCCTCCAAAGTGCTGGAACTACAGATATGAGCCACGGTGCCTGGCCGTCACTTGTTCTTTGGACCTCAGTAGCCTTCTCTGTCGAAGGAGGGAGTAGGCTGAGGCCCCCCTGGCTCTAATGCTCCTTGGCTTGGTAGTCTCCTCCCTGGCTCCCAGCAGGTCCCCTTTCCCCACCTGGCTGTTTCAGCAATGCCCGTGACCCTGGAGGTGCCCACCTTGTACAGCACTATGAAAATCAGCAGCAGCAGCAGCAGCCCCCCGATGCTGCTCAGCACATAGAGGTAGAGCATCTGCTTCTCATACACGACCTCAACCTTCATGACGACCTGGGGGCAGGGAGAGGGGAATGCTGGAAGATGCCCTTCCCACCCCTCGAAGTCCCTGTGAACCTGGTCCCATTCCCCATCCCCTCCTATCCGACTGCATCACCCACCTGGAGTCCCCAGCTGCAGACCCTCTCCCCTCAACCTGTCACCTGTCACCTGTTACAGTTGCTGCTGTGACTTGGCTAACACACACCTTAGGCAGCCCTAGGCCTTCAGTGGCTTCCCTGGAATCGCATGTGGCTCAGCATTCAAAGCCGTCTAGAATCTGGCTTCTGCTTACCTGTTAGATGCATCTTCCCTCCTCCCCTCTGCCTGCCAGCCGTACTGACCTTCAGGCTGCCCTGCCCATGCTCACCACGGAGGCCTCTGCACTTGCTGCTGCCTCTGCTTAGAGTGCCCTCTCTTCACTGTCTGACCCTTGACTTGGTAGTTTCTTTGCTAAGTTGCCATCAGATTGATTCTTTTTATTTTTTTGAGATAGGGTCTCGCCCTGTCGCCCAGGCTGGAGTACCATGGGATAATCATAGCTCACTGCAGTCTTGAACTCCTAGGCTGAAACAATCCTCCAATCTCAGCCACCTGAGGTGCTATGAGTACAGGTGTGAACCACCACATCTGCCTCTGATTTTTTTTTTTTTTTTAAATGGAATCTCACTCTGTCACCCAGGCTGGAGTGCAATGGCAGGATCTCGGCTCACTACAGCCTCTGCCTCCTGGGTTCCAGTAATTCTCTTGCCTCAGCCTCCGAGTAGTTGGGATTAGAGGTACCCGTCATCATGCCCAGCTAATTTCTGTATTTTTGTAGAGACGGGGTTTTACCATGTTGGCCAAGCTGGTCTTGAACTCCTGACTTCACATGATCTGCCTGCCTTAGCCTCCCAAAATTCTGGGATTACAGGCATGAGCCACCATGCCCGGCCTCAATTGATCTTTACTCCACATGTAAGTCTACCTTATCTCAGACAGGTGACTTTGGGGTCATGTGCCCACCAAGGGGAGAGGAAGCTTCCCCCAGGCTGATGGCTCACGCAGAGCCCAAGAGGCTCTCCCACAGCTGGGTCTGCCCTGGGGCTCCTGGGCTCCCTCTGTTGCCTGTTCCTGGGGCTTCCGGGGAGGTGGAGATACCTGGGCCAGGGAGGCATTGCTGCCATACAGGTGGAAATGCCTGCTGCTGTTGAAGGAGATGGAGAGGGAGCTGCAGAGGCTGAACGTGGAGGAGGCCTGCGGGAGTGGGGAAAGGCATCAGAACCCAGAAGAACGAGGACAGAACCCGGTGGCTTCTGCCCCCACCACAACACAATGGGGAGGAGCAGAGAAGGGGTCCCAGGGGGGTGCACCCGGCTCTACTCAGCTCTCTGCTGTGGCATTCTTTTCTTTTTTCTTTTAATTTTAACCCCTTCTAAACCCAGGCATTCTTTTCTTTTTTCGAGATGGCGTCTGGCTGTCACTCTGTCAGGCTGGAGTGCAGTGGTGTAATCTTGGCTCACAGCAACCTCTGCCTCTTGGGTTCAAGGGATTATCATGCCTCAGCCTCCAAGGTAGCTGGGATTACAGTTGCCCACCACCACACCCAGCTAAACTTTTGTATTTTTAGTAGAGATGGGGTTTCACCATGCTGGCCAGGCTGGTCTCGAACTCCCGACCTCAAGCAATCTGCCCACCTCGGCCTCCTGAAGTGCTGGGATTACAGGCGTGAGGACTGCCCCAGCGTCTACTGTGGCACTCTAATATGTCACTCCTGTTGTTGGAAGGAAAGCTTTTCTATAAAAAACACGCAGGAACTATCAATAGGCCCATGGAAACAGCACTGCAAATTTCACACAAATCATAGCTCTCTTTCACCTGTGACTGTGTAAACGGGAGATTTTTCATCAAGATGGAAAAGAAAAATGGAGGCAGACTGTCTGGTGGGAGCCCACCACTCACGGCCCTAGGCGTCTGCTCTGTGTCTGTTAGGAGCAGGGGCTACCTCGATCTCTCCCACCAGCTCCAGGGTCCCGATCACTTGGACGAGGATCTCCTGCTTGAAGGCAACAGGGCAGCGGAACACGGCACCGGGGAGACAAGGCTGAAGAGGAGGAAAGCGGGGTCAGGGCGGCCTCATTCCCACCGCGTGCCGCCCGGCCCCACTGTCTCTCAGCTCCCATGCCCATACCTCAGTTGCACGGGGCAGCCTCTCCAGCTCCTCATAGTGGCAGGGCGCAGGAGGTTCCTAGAAATGAGAGGCAGGTCTTCAGTTAGCACCTCCTGAGCCCAGATAAGACCTGGCATCCCAGCTTTCTCCTGCACTGGCCCTGGCCCTGGCCCTGGCCCTGGCCCTGGGTGAGCTCAGACATCTCTGAGTCTAGCAGGATCCAGATTCATGCATCCTCACTCCCCACACACCCAGCCTTGCCCCCTTCATTTTTTTTTGTTGTTGTTGTTAGAGACAGAGTCATGTTCTGTTGCCGAGACTGGAGTGCAGTGGTGTGATCATAGCTCACTGCAGCCTCAAACTCCTGGGCTCAAGTGATCCTCCCACCTCAGTCTCCCTAGTAGCTGGGATCACAGGCATGTGTCACCATACATGCCTGGCTAATTTTTAAATTTGTTCGTAGAGACTGGGGTCTTGTTATGCTGCCCAGGCTGGTTTCAAAATCCTGGCCTCAATCAATTCTCCCACTTTGGCCTCCCAAAGTGCTGGGATTTGGGAGGTGTGAGCCACCATCTCTGGCCAAGCTTTGCCCTCTGTCCCCTGGCATGTACTCACCACCCCAGACCTGGGGAGGGCAGCCCCTCCCTTTCTAGGCAGCACTCACCATCTGCACGCTCCACTGGTGTGTGATGGGCCCCTTGCTGGGAGGCTGTGTCACCCCAATCACGGCCTCCAGGATGGGCAGGTTGCGGTCATGGATGGAAGGCTGGATCCTCACCTGGCATAGAGGATAAGGGATGCAGAGCCCTGAATGCCAGCCACCTCAGCTGCCACCCAGACCCCATGTGCCCTTGCACGCCTCTTCCAGTCCTCATCGGCTGAGCCCCCAGGACCCTTGTTAGTTAGGCAGTGTGCAGTGACCGGGTGCGGCCAGCTTCTGTCCTCAGGGCCTTGCAGTATGGCTTCCATACTCTTCCAGCTTTCTCCACCCCGCACGCCCCCACACACCCTGTAAGAGCCTGCTCAATATTATATCCAAAGGCTTTGCTGACTTCCCAAGGACAGGGCAACTCCCCCTCCTGGGCTCCCACGGCACACTCCGTGTCCCCAGCAGGACAGCGGGGGATCCGCTTGGGTGTCTGCATCTCCCCTAGACGAGGAGCTCCCTGAGGACAGGAGCCATTCTTACTCCACCTCCAATCTCCCACTGCCTGACGCCGCGCCTGGCGTGGTGGCTCACACCTGTAATCCCAGCACTTTGGGAGGCCTAGGTGGGAGGAGCACTTGAGGTCAGGAGTTCGAGACCAGTCTGGCCAACATGGTGACATCCTGACTCTAAGAAAAATATAGAAATTAGCTGGGTGTGGTGGTGTATGCCTATAATCCTGACTACTCTGGAGGCTGAGGCAGGAGAATCACTGAGGCAGGAGGAGAAGGTTACAGTGAGCCGAGGTCACACTACTACCCTGCAGCTGGGGCAACAGGGCGAGACTCGTATCAAAAAAAATTTTTTTTTTTTTTCTGAGCACGTTTTATTAGAAAAAGAGCTGTCTGTGCTAAGGCTGGGAGATCCAGATATGTATAAGAAAGTGACACAGGAGTGACACTAACAATGTCTCAGGAAGCAGAGCAATGTGTATCAAATTAGAAGGATTCTATCATTTATTCATTCAACAAACATTCATGGACACTTGAAATACCAGTTAAATTAAAAAGGCCAAATATCAGGGGCAGCATTTGAATTTGACTGTGAAAGAGGGACAGGATTTTTTTGTTTATTTTTTTGAGACAGAGTGTCACTGTCACCCAGGCTGGAGTGCAGTGGTGGGATCGCAGCTCACTGCAACCTCCGCCTCCCAGATTCAAGCAATTCTCCTGCCTCAGCCTGTCCAATAGCTGGGATTACAGGCATGCACCACCACACCTAGCTAATTTTTATATTCTTAGTAGAGCTGGGGTTTTACCACGTTGGCCAGGCTGGTCTTGAGCTCCTGAACTCAGGTGATCCGCCTGCCTGGGCCTCCCAAAGTGCTGGGATTACAGGTGCGAGTCACCCTGCCTAGCCAGATGGATAGGATTTTAACAGATGAAGATGGGGGAGGGCATCCAGGAAGAGCCACGCAGGGAGTCGGGAAGGCACCAGGTGAGGGGGATGTGGCTGGAAGGAGGGTTCTGGGACAGAGAACAGGAGCTAAGGTTGGAAAGGAAGCCCAGGATCAGACTATGGGGCCCGGAAGGCTTGAGAGTGAGGAGTTGGGGCAGCATCAAGGGTGCAGTGGGAAGTCACAGAAGGTGGCAGAGGAAGAGAGTGGCTCCAGGGAGGTCTATCCCCTGCAGGCATGGGCTGGAAAGAGGCTGGGAGAGGGGGGTCATGGCCCATGTCGGGAGTCTGTCTCAACACTCCAGTTGCAAGAAGGCGAGGAACTGGGTCTGGGCAGTAGCAGAAAAGGGACGCAGAGAACCAGACTGCGGGAGGCAGCGGGACAAGGCAGGAGGAAGGAGAAATTCACGCCGACTCGTAAGTTTTGCTTGAGGAAGAGATGGTACCTTTCAAAAGATTCCACACAAGCCAGAGGAGATGCTGGCTTAGAGGAAGACAGCAAATTTGGTTTCGAATATGTTGAGACTAGGCCGGGTAGTGGCTCACGCTTGTAATCCCAGCACTTTGGGACACCGAGGTGGGTGGATCAGCTGAGGTCAGGAGTTCAAGACCAGCCTGGCCAACATGGTGAACCCCGTCTCTACTAAAAATACAAAAATTAGTCAGGCATGGTGGTGGGCACCTGTAATCCCAGCTACTTGGGAGGCTGAGGCAGGAGAATCCCTTGAACCCAGGAGGCAGATGTTGCAGTGGGCCAAGAACATGCTACTGCACTCCAGCTTGGGTGACAGAGCCAGACTCCATCTCGGAAAAAAAAAAAACTAGAGAAAGAAAGAAAGAAAAAAAATAATATAATGAAACCAAAGCTTCAAGAGGAGCAATTGTACTCCTAGTCATACCCTGACATACCATGCTAAGCTACGCTACACTCCTGCATACTACAATGCACTATGCTATACTAGACTACAGGAAAATGCTTGTTTTTATTTTTTTTTTGAGACAGGGTCTTGCTCTTTTTCACCCACGCTGGAGTACAGTGGCAGATCACAGCTCATTGCAGCCTCAAACTCCTGGGCTCCAGCCATCCTTCCACCTCAGCCTTCTGAGTAGCTGGGACTACAGGTGACTACCACTGTGCCCAGCTAATTTTTAAATTTTTTTTTTAGAGAGGGGGTCTCACTATGTTGTCCAGTCTGATCTTGAACTCCTGGGCTCAAGTGATTCTCCTGCCTCAACCTCCCAAAGTGCTGGGATGACAGTTGTAACAGTTGTTTTTTAAAAACAGAGACAGTCTTGCTCTGTCACCCAGATTGGAGGCAGTGGTGCCATCACAGCTCACTGCAGCCTGGAACTCCTGGGCTCAGGTGATCTTCCCACATCAGCCTTCTGTGTAAATGGGACTACAGGTTCAGGTCACCATGCCCAGCTAAGGTTTTGTATTTTTTATTTGTTTGTAGATACCAGGTCTTGGTATGTTGCCTAGGCTGGTCTTCAACTTCTGGCCTCAAGCCATCCTCCCCCCTCAGCCTCCCGAAGTGCTGAGATGACACACATGGGCCACTGCTGAAAACACTCTTGGCTTGGTCAATGCCTGCGCCTCCCTCAGAGGTTCCCTGTAGGGAAGCCTCAGCCTGAGGGGCAGCCTTCCTCCTCTAAGTTCCCCTATGGCCTGTATTAAAGATCACGGTCACAGCACATTGCATGAGAAACGGCAGATCATTAACTCAGAGATTAAAATCATGGACTTCGATATTCAAGTACACGCAGGAGGCTGACTTCTTCCCGCTGTGAGCTGTGTGGCCTGTCTGTGCTGCAGGCTTCTCCGTCCATAAGAATAACAGTACCAGGTCAGGATCGGTGGCTCACGCCTGTAGTCCCAGCACTTTGGGAGGCCAAGGTGGGTGGATCACTTGAAGTCAGGAGTTTGAGACCAGCCTGGCCAACATGGTGAAACTCTGTCTCTACTAAAAATACAAAAATTAGCTGGGCGTGGTGGCAGATGCCTGTAATCTCAGCTACTTGGGAGGCTGAGGCAGGAGAATTGCTTGAGCCTGGAAGGCAGAGGTTGCAGTGAGCTGAGATCACGCCACTGCACTCAAGCCTGCATAACAGAGCAAAGAATAGTAGCTCATTCAGTGTCTGAATGAAAAAGTATGTTCTCTCTCAGAGTGCTCTTTGCTCTCAAGTCCTGTGACTCTTAAAATAATGTATCCAGTGGCATAAAGGCGTTTGCATATGCGGCTGCTGGAAGCCTGGAGCCGTGAAGCTCTGGAGAAAGGGTTATTGAACAGGCTGCGATGAGGACCGTGTCTACTTGGTGCCTGCATCCTCAGTCCCCAGGATAAGGAATGAATGTGTGACCTATAAGGACCTTCCACGTTGGGGTTCATACCTGGTAGATGTGCTTGATTTGGTGGATCTTGGGACCTTTGGGGGTGAAACTGACATAGAGTGTGGAGTTTTCCTGGCTGTGGAGAGAGAAGGGCAGCCATGGAGGAGCGAAGTGACAGCAACCCTGGCTCCAGGAAGCCTCTGGGCGCCCAGCCACTGCGCTAGGAACCACACAGACACCATCTCATTCAACCCCTACCACAACCCACCCTTTCCCTTCGGAAACTAAGGCTTCTGAACAGGCCAGCCTCTTTCCCAAAGCCCCACAGTGGAGAGACAGGACAGGAACCCAGGGAGGCATGTCCAGTGGAGGCTATGTCCCTCCTCACTGCATGTCACCTTGTAAGTGACTCCACTGTCCTCTGGAGTCCCTGCTCATCTCCTAGATAATTGTATCAGCTGCTGATGCCCCTCCCACCCATCCTTCCAACACACATCACTCTCTGGTCCTGCCACTCACCTGCTCAGCAACTGCCAATGGCCCCCTACTGTGAGGGAGGGTCAGGTTTAAAGCCCCCCATGTCCAGGTTGCCTCCCCACTGCTCCCCTGCACACCTGTCCTTGGCTAATCCTGTCCTCTCCCTGCCCCCAGGTCTGCCCCACTGCTTCCTCCCTCCTTGCCTTCGTCTGGGCTATGGTCTCTGATGAGGACACCTAGCTTCCTTTTTAGCTCTTGCCCTAATGGCCTCATCCTCCAGACCCCAGTCTAAGCCACACTTTCTCTACAAGCCCTTCCATTTCTCCCCCAACGCACACTCTGGCTCTAATTTCATGTCAATATCATACTGTGTGGCATTGATTTTCAAAATCACTGGAGGCTGGGCACGGAGTCTCATGCCTGTAATCCCAGCACTTTGGGAGGCCTCAGCAGGCAGATCACCTGAGGTCAGGAGTTTGAGACCAGCCTAGCCAACATGGTAAAACCCCGTCTCTACTAAAAATAAAAAAATTAGCCAGGCATTGTGGTGGTGGGCACCTGTAATCCCAGCTACTTGGTGGCCTGAGGCAGGAGAAACTCTTGAACCCAACAGGCAGAGGGGTTGCAGTGAGCCGAGATTGTGCAACTCTACTCCAGCCTGGGCAACAGAGTGAGACTCTGTCTCTTAAAAAATAAAAAATTTTTAAAAAGCACTGGAGATCTGGGCTCAGACACTGTCTCCGTCCTTCCTGGTCCTTCTGTCACTGAGCCAACTGGAAAAAGCCACTTGACTTTTCGAGTCCCCCCCCTTTTTTTTTCAGACAGGGTCTTGCTCTGTCATCCAGGCGAAAGTGCGATCTCAGCTCACAACCTCCTCCTCCCAGGTTCAAGGGATTCTCCTGCCTCAGCCTCCAGAGTAGCTGGGATTACAGACGCCCACTACCACAATGCCCAGCTGTTTTTTGTGTTTTAGTAGAGATGGAGTTTCACCATGTTGGCCAGGCTGGTCTCAAACTCCTGACCTCAAGTGATCCACCCGCCTCAGCCTCCCAAAGGGATGGGATTACAGGTGTGAACCACCACACCTGTCCAAGTTTCCTTCTCTACAAGCAAGAAAACCTGTAACAGTTTTTTTTTTAAATAGCAAAAAACTGATATAATGTCCTCCATTTTTGTTGAAGAGGTCTTTACCCATCCTGCCCCTAGGCTAGGATAATTTTAGAGCACCGAGATAATATGCAAAAAACAGCAATCAGGTAGTTTTTAAAACTAAGTCTGGCATTAAAGGGGACACATATGAACAACTATGTTTTGTTAAAGGTTTCTAGGAGCACTGTGACCTGACCAAGGACTAAGACATTCCCAACCTCCATGTATCCTCTTCGGTGTCCAGATGTTTGTGCTCCTCAGTTACCTCTTGATCTCAACCCCTTCCTCTTCCCCCTACCCTTAACATTAAAGACGGTACTTTAGAACAGTAGTTCACTATCTTCTCAGTTGCCTGGCTCTCCAGATAAACCTGCCTTTCTTTCCACCAACTCTTGTCCCTTGAATCTGGCTTTCAAGTAATAAGCAGCCAGACCCAGGTTCAGTGACACACCCAACCAGCGATCCCCATGGGTCCTTCCTGCACAGAGTCACTGACTGTATGTGCATGAGTTTGGTCTCTCCAACTTGACTATAAGTTCCCTGAGGGCAAGGGGTATTGTGATAACTTTTCTCCTATCTTCCCTGGCACTACTGGCCCCCAGGAGGGGAGAGAATCTAGGGTGACTAAAACAGTCAGGAGCTTTGCTGAGGCTTTGGGGCTGAGACCCTGGCTTTAGTACCAGCTGTTGGACCTTGAGTGAGTATTGGCCTTCTCTGAGTCTCAGCTTGTTCATTGGTAAAATGGAAAGAAGCACAGCTGCCTCACAGAGGTGCTGAGGGTTCCAGGGAACGTCAGCAACCTCGCAGTGGAGCTGGCCCTGAGTCTGATATACTTTCAGTGTTCAGTGAGTTTTTTCTTCCATCAGTAAATGCTGATCCTTCCTCCAGCTCTTCCAGGCCCCCCACATTTTGGAATGTTGAAAACTGTTAGGGTTGTGGCTGTAATCAGTTCTGATGACCCTGGGGGGCTCTAGGAAAGGAAGGAGGTTCAGAAGGAGAGCCCCAGGGGGCAAAATCGGGGCCCTAGGTGGGGAGGCTGTGGTGGGAGGTGAGGACTGGCCGTCTGCAGGGAAGGACTTACTCCTGGATGAGGACGTTGATGGGGTGCAGGACGGGGATGCTGGTACTGGCCAAGTTGTCCTCCAGGAGGCCTGAGTCCTCATTGGTACAGGTCACATTGGTGCGCAACCCGACCGAGTCCCCCCAGGAGCTGTTTACCAGTGTATTAAACATCATCTGCATAGCAACCTGGCAGGGAAGGAGAGGGGAATGGAAATGGAAGGGGCTGAGGGGCAGCCTGAGCACCTCACAGCCCCCACATCCAATCACTATCATCTCAGGGACCCCTTATCAAGTGCTCACTGCACCCCAAGCACTGAGCTAGGATTCTACCCATTGTAAAGATGAGACAAGTGAGGTTCCAAATGGCTAAGTCATGTCTATAAGGTCACAAAATGAATCACCCAATCCCAGCTTTGCGATTCCAAAGTCCAGGTTCTCAAACACGACACAAAACAGCTTCACATACATTTCTCTTAGAGTAGGGGCAAGGTATGCCCTTCCTGACAATCCCCCGCTCCCTCCTCCTGAGACAAGAGCTCCCTCCCCTCCGCCAGCTCAGAGCCCCTAGGCTGCTTGGTCCCTGGAGACTTGAAGCACTTACGGAGCGGCCTGCTCTGAAGATGGGAGCGCTCACGTTGCAAGAGAATGCCCTGGACAGAAGCTTGGACTCTGCAGGAAGGTCCTCACAGCTCACAGGGATCTGGCTATGGGGCTGGAAGTGAAAGAAGGGAACAAGCTTGTTAGTGAGCAAGGCCAAGGTTCCCGCAGAGGCCACCAGCCCTCCGGGCCCACCTCGCTCAGGGGCTCTGTCCCTGTCATGGCACCTTCTCAGAGGGAAAGGGTCCAAGAATCAGGGCTGCAGACAGAGGCTTAGTACAAAATAGTCACTGCAAGGTCGGGTAAGGTAGCTCACACTTGAAATCCCAGCACTTTGGGAGGCTGAGTGGGAGAATTACTTGAGGCCAGGAGTTCAAGATCAGCCTGGGCAACAATAAGATCCCATCTCTACAAAAAAAAAAAAAAAAAAAATTTAAAAATAGGGCCTTACTCTGTTGCCCAGGCTAGAGTGTAGTAGTGTGATCTTGGCTCACTGTAACCTCTGACCCCTGGGCTCAAGCAATCCTCCTGCCTCAGCCTCCCAAGTAGCTGGGACCACAGGGATGTGCCACCATGTCCGGTTAATTTTTGTATTTTAGTAGAGATGAAGTCCTCTATGTTACTCAGGCTGCACCTGAACTCCTGGGCTCAAGTGATCTGCCTGCCTTGGCCTCCCAAGGTGCTGGGATTACAAGTGTAAGCCTCTGTACGTGGCCTGCAAAAATTTTTTTAAGTTAGTTGAGCATAGTGGGGCATGCCTGTCATCCCAGCTATTAGGCAGCAGAATCACTTGAGCCCAGGAGACTGAGGCTGCAGTGGGCCATGCTTGTGCCACTAGACTTCAGCCTGGGCGACAGAGTGAGACCTTATCTCAAAAATCAAAGTTGGGTGGGGGGCTAACTGCAACACTATTTATAACGCTGAAAAACTGAAGTGCTCAAACAGTTCAAAGAGATAACGACCACTCAGTAAAGTGTGGTACGATCAGAAGAGACTAGTGTGAAGTTTTTAAAATGCTACTAACTCTATACATTCAGTAACCATTTTAAAAATCGGCCTGCTCCTGGGCCAAGCATTATGAAACCATTCATCTTCATCCCAATCTTGTCAAGGACAGATTTCGGTCTCAGACTGGGAAGGAAACAGATGAGGAAATAGGACTTTCCCACGGTGTCATCACTGAGTAACAGCAGGGATCCGTAGACCTTGAACACAGAACTGTTTGACTCCAGTTATTTTTTCTTTTTCTTTTTTGAGATGGAGTCTCTCACTGTCATCCAGGCTGGAGTGCAGTGGCTCGATCTCTGCTCACTGCAGCCTCCATCTGCTGGATTCAAGTGATTCTCCTGCTTCAGCCTCTCGAGTAGCTGGGATTACAGGCATCCGCCACGACACCTGGCTAATTTTTTTGTATTTTTAGTAGAGATGTGGTTTCACTATGTTGGCCAGGCTGGTCTTGAACTCCTGACCTCAGTGATCTGCCCACCTCAGCCTTTCAAAGTTTTGGGATTATAGGCATGAGCCACCACACCCAGCCCAGTTTTTTGTTGTTTTGTTTTGTTTTGTTTTGTTTTGTTGTTTTCTCTGAGACAGTCTCACTTTGTCACCCAAGCTGGAGGGCAATGGTATAATCATGGCTCACTGCAGCCTCAAAATCCTGGACTCCAGTGATCCACTCACCTCAGCATCCTGAGTAGCAGGACTACAGGCACACCCTTCACACCTGGCTAATTATTTAACTTTTTGTAGAAACAGAGTCTTGCTCTGTTGCCCAGGCTAGAGTGCCCTGGTGTGATCATAGCTCACTGCAGCCTCGAACTCCTGGGCTCAAGCACTCCTCCACCTCAGCCCCCCAGGTAGCTGGAATTGGGGGTACACACCACCACATCCAGCAAGGAAGCATTCAGTGTTGCTGTATGAGAATGATTCAAGTGTTCATCAGCAGATAAAGAAGCAAAATATGGTCTATACATAAAATGGAACATTATTCAACCTTAAAAAGGAAGGAAATTTGGCCGGGCTCACTGGTTCACACCTGTAATCCTAGCACTTTGGGAGGCTGAGGTGGGCAGATTGCCTGAACTCAGGAGCTTGAGACTGGCCTGGGGAAAATAGTGAGACTCTGTCTCTATCTATTTATTTATTTTTTTGAGATGGAGTCTTGCTCGTAACCAGGCTGGAGTGAGTGCAGCGGTGCCGTCTCAGCTCACAGTAGCCTCTGCCTCCCAGGTTCAAATGATTCTCCTGCCTTAGCCTCCCTAGTAGCTGGGACTACAGGCACACACCACCACACCTGGCTAATTTTTGTATTTTTTCAGTAGAGACAGGGTTTCACCATGTTAGTCAGGCTGGTCTTGAACTCCTGATCTCGGGTGCTCCTCCTGCCTTGGCTTCCCAAAGGGTTGGGATTACAGGCATGAGCCACCATGCCCAGCCTGAGGGTAAAACCTTGTACATCAGATCATACAGCTCTAGGCTGGGAACCCAGATGTGACCCTGAGACCCCTGTCCACCCACAGCTGTCTATGTGTTCAGGCTGCCCTGGCCACCTGGGGTTCAAAGAAGAGCGCAGCGACAGCGGAACAGACGCCTGGTGCTGTCCTCTCACCCACCTTCAGCATCTCCACCTTGCGGAAGGAGAGTCCCTGGGGCAAGTGCAGGTCCAGCTGGACCCAGTAAGCATCTTCTCCCAAGTTACTCAGGCTCAGCTCCACAGAGAGGCTGGCAAAAGCAGTCAGACGCAGGGCTCTGGATCTGTGGGAGATGATCAGCGAAAAGTTAGGGTCCAAGATGGAGGAGGCAGGATCAGGGTAGGGAATATCAGAACTGAGGGATCTGGTGGGCCAGAAAGAAGTAAATCAAAACCAATCATCTTTCATGCTTAGCCTTTTTTTTGTTGATGTTGTTCAGATAGAGGCTTGCTCCGTTGCCCAGGTTGGAGTGCAATGATGCAGTCTTAGCTTATTGCAACCTCCGCTTCCTGAGTTCAAGCGATTCTCCTGCCTCAGCCTCCTGAGGAGCTGGGATTACAGGCAGGTGCCACCATGTCCGGCTAATTTTTGTATTTTTAGTAGAGACAAGGTTTTTCCATGTTGCCCAGGCTGGTCTCAAACTCCCGACCTCAGTTGATCCACCCACCTCAGCCTCCCAAAGTGCTGGGATTACAGGCGTGAACCACCGCGCCTGGCCATGCCCAGCCTTTCAGTTTTGCAATTCTTGCAATCTCATTTACTGCTGACTGATGGGAGTTCCATGAAGGATTTGCTTTTTACTTTATTTCTTTTTTATTTTTTAGAGACAGGGTCTTGCTCTGTTGCCCAGGTTGGAGTGCAGTGGCATGATCATAGCTCACTGCAGCCTCGAACTCCTGGGCTCAAGTGTTCCTCTTGCCTCACCCTCCTGAGTAGCTGGGAACACACGCATGAGCCACTGTGCCCAGCTAATTTTTAAATTTTTTGTAGTGACAGGGTCTTGCTACGCTGCCCAGGCTGGTCTTGAACTCTTGGCTTCAAGCAGTCTTCCCACCTTGGTTGGCCTCCTGAAGTGCTGGGATTACAGGCATGAGCCACTGAGTTCAGCCTTGAATTTCTCAGGAAAGGAAACTAAGGCCCAAGAGAGGGAAGCGGTGTCTCCAAATGACGTATCTGGTGAGTGGAGCCGGGGGTCTTAAAACAGAGTGGATGGGGGGCTGGAGGTGGAGCGGCCTTACTGACCTTGCAGTTGAGAAGGACACTCTCATGTTTGCCTCGCACTTATTGTCCTCCCTGCAGTTCTTCTCAAAAGGGATCTGAAAGGCCAAGAAGAAAGGAGTAAGAGGCTCAGACCAGGAGGGACCGGGCCCCAGGCCTCTCTGCCTGCCCCTCTTCCCGTCTTACCTCCCAGGTCTCCAAGTGCAGGGAGGGTCTCAGGATGGGTGGTCTGTCCTTGCCCTGTCAAGCAAGGGGAGTGGGCAGGATGGAGAGAGGAGAGATTAGCTGAGGCAACAGACTTCATGAAGGAGGAATGGAGGGGCAGGAGTTTAGCTCAACTGGACTGGCTGTGGTTGGCCCTGCCCAGGAGCCAGCTCCCTTCCCAGGGTTGCCTCATTCCCCTGCCTCAGCCCACAGCGCTTGCGCAGCTGTACTCTGGTGGCAGCTCTTTATTGCTTTTTAATTTTTAATTTTTTGAGACAGAGTTTTGCTCTGTTGCCCAGGCTGGAGTGCAGTGGCATGATCTCGGCTCACTGCAACCTCTGTCTCTTGGGTTCAAGGGATTCTCCTGCCTCAGCCTCCCAAGTAGCTGGGAGTACAGGCGTGCACCACCATGCCTGGCTAATTTTTTTTGTATTTTTTTTTAGTAGAGATGGGATTTCACAGTGTTAGCCAGGATGGTCTTGATCTTCTGACCTTGTGATCCACCCACCTCGGCCTCCCAAAGTGCTGGGATTACAGGTGTGAGTGACCGCGCCAGCTCTTTTTTTATTTTTTTAAGACAAGTCTCACTCTGTTGCCCAGGCTGGAGTGCAGTGGCACAATCTCTGCTCACTGCAACCTCTGCTTCCCGGGTTCAAGCGATTCTCCTGCCTCAGCCTTCTGAGTAGCCGTGATTACAGGTATGCACCACCACGCCTAGCTGATTTATTAAAAATAATTTTAGTAAGCCAGGTGCAATGGCTCACACCTGTAATCCCAGCACTTTGGGAGGCTGAGTCAGGTGGATCACTTGAGGTCAGGAGTTTGAGATCAGCCTGATCAACATGGAGAAACCCTGTCTCTACTAAAAATACAAAATTAGCTGGGCATGCTGGTGTGTGCCTGTAATCCCAGCTACACGGGAGATTGAGGCAGGAGAATGGCTTGAACTCAAGAGACGGAGGTTGCCAAGATCGTGCCATTGCACTCCAGCCTGGGTAATGAGAGCAAAACTTAGTCTCAAAAATGTGTGTGTGTGTGTGTGTGTGTGTGTATAAAACTTTTTTTTAATAGGGTTTTTGCCACGTTGGCCATGCTGGTCTCGAACTCCTGGCCTCAAGCAATCCACTCGCCTCAGCCTTCCCAAATTGCTGGGATTGCAGGCATGAGCCACCACACTGGGTTGGCTCTTTTTTTTTCTTGTTTAGAGACAGGGTCTCACTTTGTTGTTGCCCAGGCTAGAGTGCAGTGGTACAATCGTAGCTCAATAGCTCACTGCAGCCTCAACCCTCAGGGCACAAGTGATCCTCCCTGCTCTGTCTCCTGGGTAGCTGGGACTACAAGGGTGCACCATCACACCCGGCTAATTTCTTATGTTTTCTAGAAAGGGAGTCTGACTATGCCTGGCTGGTCTCAAAATCCTAACCTCAAGTGTACCATCACACCCAGCTGATTTTTGTATTTTTAGTAGAGATGGGGTTTCACCATCGAACGGTTGGCTGGGCTAGCCAACTGTTCAACTTGAGGTCACTCGAACTCCTGACCTCAAGTAATTCACCCTCTTTAGTTGCCCAAAGTGCTGGGATTAAAGGAGTGAGCTGCCTGGCCATTAGATAGTCGCTTCTTGCCAAATGGATTTCTCTGAGAAACTCTGCACCATTCTTAGCCATCTCTTCTTACCGCCCTTTGGTCCCTCGCTGTCCCTTCCTCCTCCCAAAGCGAGAAATTCAGGGAGACATTGACGGGGGAGATGAGGTCTTGAACACATACCTGAGGGTGATAAGAATACAGCCTGTGTCATGAATCTAACCTTTACCACACTTCCAATTAGATGTATACCTTGTCAGCATTTTACAAATGATGAAATTCTGGTAGTTATTTGTCTAAGACCCTACCAGTAGTGAAAATCCATTGACTACATAGCAGGTGTTTGCCCAGGGGGCTTCTCAGCACAGGTATCATCCCCCGCCCCAGTTCCCCAGTAGACATCACTAATCGATCCCAGCACTTTTTCCCACTGTGTCTTAACGGAAGCCTCTGAATCTTTGACATAGGCAGTCATTATCAAAGCTTACATAAGAAAATTCCAGAATAACCAGAATATCCTAGTTGTAGAATTTTGTTCCTTGAGAACAGGGCTGGGTCTTAGTCACTTTTTATTACCTATGCCTGACATTGGCATTCTGTAGGTACTCAAATTGTTTTTCACCTAAAGTTTCTACTAATCCCAAGAGGTAGGTATTATTACCCCAACATTTATAATAAGGAGAAAAAGCTCTTCCTTTCCTTTTTTTATTTCCCTTCCTTCCTTCTCTCTTCTCTTTTCTTCTTTTCCTTCCTTTCTACCCTCCCTCCCTCTCCCTTCCTTCCTTCCTTCGTCTCTCTCTTCTCTCTCTCTCCTTCTCTTTCCTTTCTTTCCTTCTTCCTTCCCTCCTTCCTTTCTCTTTCTCTTTCATCCTTCCTCCCTCTCTCCCCTACCTCTAGAAAAGAAAAAAGAAAAAGAAAATGAAAACTGAAAAGATGGCACAATTGTCCTATGAACTGGAAGTGACAGAGTCAAGATTTGAACCCAAATCTGTCCAAATCCAAAGTCCAGGGTCTTTCCACCATGTCACACTGCTTTCTTTTCTGGCAAATTTATGTTTAAAATGTCTAAATCTTGTAAGAGGTGGAATTCGAGGGGGCAGAGAGGCACTTAGCGGAGGTTTGAATGAAATCGAAGGTGATTTGATCATTGAAACTGGGTGATGAGGACCTTGGGATTCATTAAACTATTTTTTTCTAGTTTTGTATGATTCACATTCCCCATAATAAAAAGTTTAAAATGGGCCGGGTGCGGTGGCTCACGCCTATAATTCCAGCACTTTGGGAGGCCGAGGCGGGTGGATCATGAGGTCAAGAGATCGAGACCATCCTGTCTAACATGGTGAAACCCCGTCTCTACTAAAAATACAAAAATTAGCTGGGCATGGTGGTGCGTGCCTGTAGTCCCAGCTACGTGGGAGGCTGAGGCAGGAGAATTGCTTGAACCCAGGAGGCGGAGGTTGCAGTGAGCCGAGATCATGCCACTGCACTCCAGCCTGGCATCTGGCGACGGAACAAGACTCTGTCTCAAAAAAAAAAAAAAAAAAAAAAAAGTTTAAAATGGGCTAAGTGTGGTAGCTCATGCCTATAATGCCAGCACTATGGGAGGCTGAGGCAGGTGGATCCCTTGAGGTCAGGAGTTTGAGACCAGCCTGGCCAACATGGTGAAACCCCGTCTCTACTAAAAATACAAAACTTATCTGGGTATAGTGGTGCACACCTGTAATCCCAGCAACTTGGGAAGATGAGTTGAGAGAATCGCTTGAAGCCAGGAGACAGAGGCTGAAGTGAGCCCAGATCATACCAATGTACTCCAGCCTGGGGAACAGGGTGAGACTTCATCTCAAAAACAAAAAGTTTAAAACAAACTTCAAATTCTTATGCCCCAATCCTATACTGTCTTGTATAAATTTTTTTTGAGATGGGGTTTTACTATTATTGCCCAGGCTGGAGTGCAATGGGGTGATCTCAGCTCACTGCAACCTCCACCTCTGGGTTCAAGTGATTCTCCTGCCTCAGCCTCCCGAGTAGCTAGGATTACAGGTGCCTCCCACCACACCTGGCTAACTTTTTGTATTTTTAGCAGAGACGGGGTTTCACCATGTTGGCCAGGGTGGTCTTGAACTCCTGACCTCAAGTGATCCACCTGCCTCAGCCTCCCAAAGTATTGGGATTACAGGCATGTGCCACTGTGCCCAGCCTTTTATGAAATATTTAAGAGAACATAATAATTTGATATCAATTTCATTTTTACACAGGATTGCTTATAAGCAACTGAATCTGGGTATTTCAGAAGTTGTTTAAACTTTGTTTATTTTTGAGACAGAGTCTCACTCTGTTGCCAAGGCTAGAGTGCAGTGGCACAATCACAGTTCACTGCAACCTGCACCTCCTGGGTTCAAGCAATCCTCCTGCTTCAGCCTCCCAGGTAGCTGAGAATACAGGTGTATTTCACCAAGCCTGGCTGATTTTTTTGTATTTTTTTTTTGTAGAGAAGGGGTCTCGCTATGTTGCCTAGGTTGGTGTTGAACTCCTAAGCTCAAGCGATCCACCTACTTCAGCCTCTCAAAGTGCTGACCTGAGCCACTGTGACAGCCCTGTTTAAACCCTTTTAAAAACTTTTTTTTTCCACGTACCATACATGAGACTTAATTTAAAAACTTAAAAAACTTGGCTGGGCACAGTGGCTCATGTCTGTAATCCTAGCAATTTGGGAGGCTGAGGCAGGTGGATCACCTGAGGTTGGGAGCTCAAGGCCAGCCTGATATTTTGTAAAAATACAAAATTAGCCAGGCGTGGTGGTGCATGCCTGTAATCCCAGCTACTCAGGAGGCTGCTACTCAGCTGTGGTGGAGGTTGCGGTGAGCGGAGATTGCACCATTGTACTCCAGCCTGGGCAACAAGAGTGAAACTCTGTCTTGAAAAAACAAAATAAAACAAAAAACACAACTTTTTCTGGGATGCACGACATGTACCTGGCAAATAATGAAATGCTACGACGACTGAATATTCTATAAAAATAGCTAACATGGTGAAACTCTGTCTCTACTAAAGATACAAAAAAAAAAAAAAAAAATTAGCCAGTGTGGTGGCAGTTGCCTGTAATCCCAGCTACTCGGGAGGCTGAGACAGCCTCTGCTTGAACCTGAGAGGTGGAGGCTGTAGTGAGCCAAGATCAAGCCACTGCACTCCAGCCTGGGTGACAGAGGGAGACTTTGTCTCAAATAAATAACATAAAACATTTAAAAAAACCCACTAGAACAAAATATGCTAAAGGCGTTATTACTACCATTGCACAGGAGAAGAAGCGTCAGCACAGAGGGATCAAGTAATGTGTCTCCCAGCGGATAGTGACAGAGTTGATCCTGCCCCTGCAGGCAGCTCATCCCAGAGCATTGGGACTGACTCCCTTACCGGGAAATGGAATGAGAAGTCATTGCAGGACATACTGGTGGTGACAGCTATGTTCCTGCTGAGTTCTTGTCTCCCTCCTGGGAACAAACCCCGGCTTCTGGTTCGGTGGCTGTCCAGCTGCAGGGTGTAAGTGAGATTGGCAACCAGGCGGCCTGGGCAGGGCGGAAAAGGCAGGAGTTGAATGGTGGGGGATCCTGGGGCTGTAAGCATGGATGTGGGGTGGCAGCTGCCCTGGGGAGCAGGAGGAGAGCTCTGACCTTGGAACTGGGGGATGAGAGACTTGATCTGGAAACAGACTGTGATATTAATGCCTTCCTTCATCTTGTTACTCGCTGAATAGAGGCACTCCACTTCATGCACTGGGATCTCAGCTGGAGAGGAGGACATCAGGGTGACAACATCCACCACGGGCCGGGAGCTGCAGGGCAGAAAGCAACCAAGTCTCTCCCTCCATCCCAACCGCACGCCCCCCTCAGATGTGGGCTTCTGCCTGCAGAGCCCAGAGAACTCTCCTTCCCTAAAGCAGACCTCAACATGTCACTGTCTCCTCTTCAGAAAAATAATAATGATACTTTCTATTTATTTATTTTGAGATATAGTCTCACTCTTTTGCCCAGGCCGGAGTGCAGTGACATGATCACAGCTCACTGCAGCCTCAGCCCCCCAGGCTCTAGTGATCCCCCCATCTCAGCCTCCCAAGGAGCTGGGACCACACACATGTGCCACCACACATGGCTAATTTAAAAAAAAATTTGTAGAGAAGAGATCTTCCTATGTGGTCCAGGCTGGTCTTGAACTTAGCTCAAGCAGTCCTCCCACCTTGGGCTCCCAAAGTGCTGGGATTATAGGTGTGAGCCACCACGCCTGGCCAGTAATGATGATAATTAGAGCTCCCAGTGCATTCTCGCAGCTTCTGACCCATTTTCCATGAAGAGTAAGCTCTTAGGAAGGGAAATCATACTCAGTTACTTTCATGTTTACATTTTAGCCTTTGAGGATGCTTGCATGAATTTTATTATGCTTCATAATAAAAAATTCCAGCTTTTTGTTGTTATTGTTAGAGACAACCTCGCTCTGTCGCTCAGGCTGGAGTGCAGAGGTGTGATCTTGTCTCACTGCAACCTTCACCTCCTGGGTTCAAGTGACTCTCCTGCCTCAGCCTCCCAAGTAGCTGGGACTACAGGCATGTGCCACCATGCCTGGCTAACTTTTTTTTTTTAGTAGAGATGGAATTTCACCATATCGGCTAGGTTTGTCTCAAACTCCTGACTTCGTGATTTGCCTGCCTTGGCCTCCCAAAGTGCTGAGATTATAGGCGTGAGCCACTGCGCTCGCCCTATGTATTGTTTTTTTGTGATGGGATCTCACTGTGTCACTCAGGCTGCAGTGCATTGGCATGATCACAGCTTACTGCAACCTCGATTTCCCAGGCTCAAGTCATGCTCTTGCCTCAGCATCCCAAGTAGCTGGGTCTACAGTCATGCACCACCCTACCTGGCGAATTAAAAAAAAAAAAAAAAGTGCTGGGCATGGTGGCTCACGTCTGTAATCCTACCACTTTAGGAGGCCGAGACGGGCAGATCACTTAAGGTCAGGAGTTCAAAACCAGCCATGGCCTGTCTCTACTAAAAATACAAAAAATTAGTGGGGTATGGTGGTTCACACCTGTAATCCCAGTTACTTGGGAGGCTGAGGCAGGAGAATCACTTGAACCTGGGAGGTGGAGGTTGCAGTGAGCCAAGATCATACCACTGCACTCTGGCCTGGGCGACAGAGCAAGACAATGTTTCAAAAAAAAAAAAACAAAAAAACCAAAGCAAACCAAAAAATGTACAGATCGTGCCCCACTATATTGCTCAGGCTGGTCTCAAACTCTTGAGCTCAAGTGATTCTCCTGCCACATGTCATCTCAAAGTGCTGGGATTACCCACATGAGCCACCACACCCTGCTAATTTTTAATTATACATTTTCCAACATATAAGCTCTCTCCCCAGTGCCTGATTTAAGGCAGAAAATGTCACTACCATTTCAAAGATGAGGAAACATGGGTCCCAAGAAGCTAAGTGGGCAGGGTGTAGTGGCTCCTGCCTACTAGAGAGGCTGAGGCAGGAGAATCACTTGAACCCAGGAGGTGGAGTTTACAAAAAAAAAAAGGCAGCTAAGTGACTGGAGTAACAGCATCCCAGAAGTAAATGGCAGAGGCTTAACTTGATTCCAGGTCACCATGTTCTAAAGCTATGCTTTTCCTGATCCCATGATATTCCTTCTCTATGAGGTTTCAGTGTCAGATAGCCCTGGGTGCACATCCCAGTTCCATCACTGATGGCCGCTGTTCAACCTGGAGTGAGACATGAAGGCTCTATAAAACTAAACCTACCTAACAGGGCTTCGTGAAGACCCAATGAGCTCATGCCTACAAAACATCTGCACGGGGCCTGGCACACAGTAACTGCACAGAGAATGTGGCCAGGTGCGGTGCCCATGTCTGTAATCCCAGCTACTTGGGAAGTTGAGGCAGAAGAATCCTGTGAGCCCAGGAGTTTGAGATCAGTCTGGGCAAAGTAGCAAGACTGTATATTTTTTTCTTTTTTTTTTGAGATGCAATCTCACTCTGTTGCCCAGGCTTGAGTGCAGTGGCACGACCTTGGCTCACTGCAACCTCTGCCTCCTGGGTTCAAGCGATTCTCCTGTCTCAGCCTCCTGAGTAGCTGGGATTACAGGTGCCTGCCATGCCTGGCTATATTTTTTTGTATTTTTAGTGGGCACAGGGTTTCACCTTGATGGCCAGGCTGGTCTCAAACTCCTGACCTCAAGTGATCTGCCTACCTCATAAGACCATATCTTTTTTTTTGGGGGGGGGGGGGGGGTTCAGAGTTTCTCTCTTGTTGCCCAGGCTGGAGTGCAAAGGTGCAATCTTGGTTCACTGCAACCTCTATCTCCTGGGTTCAAGCCATTCTCCTGCCTCAGCCTCCTGAGTAGCTGAGATTACAGGTACTCACCATCACACCCATCTAATTTTATAATTTTAGTAGAGACGGGGTTTCAACATGTTGGTCAGGCTGGTCTCGAACTCCTGACCTCAAGTAATCCACCTGCCCTGGCTTTCCAAAATGCTGGGATTACAGGCATGAGCCACCATGTCCGGCCTGGAAGACCATATATTAAAAAAATAAATAGATCATACACAGTGTCTCCTGCCTGTAATCCCAGCACTTTGGGAGGCTGAGAAGAAAGGATAGTTTGAGACCAGGAGTTTGAGACCACCTGGGGCAACACAGTAGGTCCCCATTTCTACCAAAAAAAAAAAAAATAGCCAGGTGTGGTGGCAAGCACCTGTAGTCCCAGCTACCTGGGAGGCTGAGGTGGGAGGTTTGCTTAAGCCCAGCAGTTTGAGGCTGCAGTGAGTTATGATCATGTCACTGCACTCCAGCCTGAGCGACAGAGAAAGAACTTTTCTCTAAAAAAAATTAAAATAAAAATAAATAAATAAATAAATAAATAAAATAAAAACAAAACAAAGGATAACAGCTGGGGTCGTCAGGTAGGACCCGGGAGCCCCGTCTCACCTCAGCACGATCATCTGGCCCTCAGCCCCCACAGCCACATCTGCCAAGCCGTCCCCTTCAAGGTCCTTCACCCCATGGATGGAGCGTCCAAACCACCGAATTCCTGAGAGCACTTGGGTCCCTTCTATCCGCTGAGAGCAAGAGAGAAATTCCCGCTAAGCTGAAGAGAGGCAGGTTGGAAGGAGAGAAGGGTTGGGCTGGGGAGTAGGGTTTGGGCTTGGGGGCTTCGGACACCCAAAACTGGAATGTGATTGGCAGGCAGGGTACCTCACCTGACTTGGTTGGGGGCTCAGCCCCCCATGCCTTCCATTGAAGATGTACACAGCCCCCTGCTCCGCCAGAGGGGCCCCCACAGCCACATCCACCAGCCCATCGCCATAGATGTCTGTCAGGACGGTGATGGCTTCTCCAAACCGCCCAAGTGAGTAGCCGAGGTTCCCCCGCAGCTCTGAGACCTCTTCAAACCCCGACTAGGAAGTAGCAAGAGACAGGTCACACCCAAGTTACTCAGCAAGCTGTCACAGAACAACTGAGTGAAGAACGCTAAAGAAATATAAGACGGGGTCCCTCACAGAATTCGAACGGGGCTGTCAGATAACTACGGTTCAAGCACCAGCCCAACCTCTTACTGTCTGTGTTACCTTGTGGCTTCAGATATCCCCTTACTGAGCCTTGGGGTTTCCGTTTATATATATACACTTTTTTTTTTTTGATAATTTTTTTTGAGACAGTCTTGCTCTGTCGCACAGGCTGGAGTGCAGTGGGATGATCACAGCTCACTACAGCCTTGAACTCCTGGGCTCAAGTGATTCTCCCACCTCAGCCTCCCAAGCAGCTGGGATGACAGGCAAGTACCATCACACCTGACTAACTTTTTTTTTTTTTTTTTTTTT